ATATTTTCGTTAAACGGGAAGTTTGCACCTAAATACAGTCAATTATTAACAAAGAAACTTGTAAGTTTGTCGGGCTTTTAGATCGTCGTGGAAAACATCACTTGCCGACGTTTTGCAAGCACATGTGACTTGCATCTTCAGATGTGTTGAAGCCACATGAGGCCAAATATTTTTACTAAGTAAATTAGAAACTCCAGTAGAAACCCCGCTTGTGCAGCTGAACTGATCGCATCTATTGCAAACAATTTAAACTCGTAAACTTTTCTAAATTCATGAATTTTAATACGTGTATTTTGGGATATCTTGTATGAAACTTGACCAAATTATTTGATCCGTCACAGCAAAAGTTTAATGTTAAATATTTTGTGATTTGGGCATTTGGTGAAAATTATGAAAATCTGCAAGAATTTAAATTTGCACAGTGATTGAATTTTTCAGTGAAAACTTGTTATGATGAAAATGATGATGTAGTCACGTTATCCGGTATTTTAGATAACTCAGAATTAATCAATCTGAAAATTTGGCCAGTCACTTTGATATAAATGAGCAAAGAGGACAAGGGAAATTAGACATTTTAAATTACTTTTTAGCTAATGAATCCTTTATTGTCTTAAACTCCAAAACTGAACTAGGTGTGTTCAAAGCGATAACTTACGTAATATAAACGCGATTTTTTCAAAACATCTAATCTGTTGTCGCGATTGCAAAAATCGATAAGCTGTCTGAAATTGTGTTTGAGAAATTGACAAAAGCCTCCATTACAAAATATGATGTATCTTGCCGTAGTCGGCAAGAACAATAAAATGATGTGGTATAGCATTACAATGTGCCTCTTGATGATGAAAAGTATGCCAACCCATACATGTCTGAAAACTAATGTATACAGGGACTTTTCGTGTTTTATCAGATCGCGATAAATATCCGATGAACAGGCGACCGCGGTCATGTTATACAACTTTCTTTCAGTCTCAAGTTTCACTTTTTAACATTCTATTCATCTTGATATCTGGCGAATTTATTGGATTGATGATGGTGATGTTTTAGCTCATACCAAATTTATTAACTCTACGTTAATGCGTTTCATACACGAACAACAGGCGAGAGAAACTTAAAAAAATTAAGCAACACTTTGGCGATTTGAAATTTAAATTTATTGGCATGATCCATTGGGGAGCAAGCTAAGGTGTCCTGCATGAAATCACCATCCAAAGAAACTACTTGTCTTTTCGTGCCATTGTATTTAAATAAGTGACTGAACAATTTGCTTTGTAAAGGCACCTGAAGCTATTTGGTAAAATACGGGTCATTCACTTTCAATATCATTTCAATTAATCAAAGTTTTATTATTAATAATATCCTACTTTGAACCATACCTGGCCTACGTAAGACACATGTACTGTACTGAACGTCTACTACTCCATGAAATAATCGAAAAACCTTTTTTTGATTTCTTACTTTGTAACATAACTAATGACATGCAATTATTCGTTAAGTCGATTCCGCTGGTCACTTCCAGCTAATCGACATGCAAAGCTTTTCCTTTTAAGTGAGATGAATATATATGGAGAAAAATGTCATTACTTTTTACGACTGGCATTGCCTGCATCTGATTGTAAGCGAATTGTGTTTCCTCGTGCAAAGTGAAAGGTAAAAACAGCATACTCTTTAAAGAGAACTAACTGCTCCGGGTGGACATGAGTATTCATGTCTAAGACCATCTAATTATGGATATCCAGGGGCAATTATAGTGATCTCTTTTAATTGATTCGTTAGTATTTTATATGAAAGGTAGGATTTCCTGGATTTTATTACCGGTTTATTTTTCTACATATAGAATACTTGTACAAGTTTTTTGCGTGCTCAAGTTTTTTTCGATGATCGTTTTTAAAATAACAACCGGTCGCATGACCACTTACTCTTTACCTTGAGGTCGATTTTGAGTTTTGGCAGGATTTTTATCCGAAATTTCTTGGACAGGTCGACATTTTTATTTGCTGTTTTAATTGAAACTGTTGGTGGCATTTGAACAAACTGCTTGAGGGGCGAAGCATCGTACATTTGATCAAAATTTCCAAGGTGCAGCTTAAGGAACTTCTTCATAAGATGAAATATTGGCTTACAAAATGAACCTGCTGAAAACACGCTTGCTATCAATTGCACAGCGCTTCGAAAGCTTTTTAAATGATTTCTTAACATACTTTGGTGGCATAATTCTAGTATAGAAACACATCAATCAATGTGTAGTTAATATTTAAAATCTGTGTAAAGTGAAGCATCTAATACAAACGGTATGTGCTTATTTTAAAACGATTATAATTGCATTAGAACTRATTCCAAAAAATAGGCGCGCTTAGAATTTATSAAGCAAATATAGATTATAGATTARATATRTCAATTTTCTTTAAAAAATCTGTGAAAAGATTGTCAATGAAAACGTATAGCTTTAACTACACTGAACTTGTCATAAGTGCGTTAAATCGGAGTTTTGTTTTACAGACATTTATTTCTTATATGAACATGAGGAAAAATCGCAAAGTGTCTTCAAACTCCATCTAGAGTAACGCACAAAATGTTTTCTAATTTTTTTTTCAATTAAGACTATAATTTAACATGCGCTTTCATAAAGTTATGYGCATTAYGTTTTAYTCACTTCCCATCATAAAAATGKCAAAATTTACGTTTTCAAAGTATGGAAGTCGATYAATSTTGACYGKAAATTTTRTTTACATTTTGTACTGTTCTTCATCCCGCAAGTGATTTGSAAAAAAATGCAGTTYAATGGATAACATAACAAATCAACCATGGAAGTATKATCGYTATTAGACGAAGGACAGTCAACAATTCCTAGATGTTGTCTGTAAAAATTGTCGCTAATTYATTTCGGAAGGAAGTCATTAAATTTAATCAAATATAATTTTTTGTATTTATTTGCATTCTCTTTATTTGGCTTTTATTTYCAAAATCCACTTGACTTGTCAGAAAATTCAGAGAAAATTSATMATTAAAAGAAYATATACAAAACAACAAGTGGAAAYAATTATAAGAAAAAACCATCAAARTCAACTTTTTCATCAAATTTCATACAAGACAATAGTCACGATTCAATACATTTCATGTACAACCTTGGATGTCGATATCTTGACAATCRTGCATCTTTAGACCAACGTTTATTACCCGTATAAAATAAATCAAAAACAAAAGTTGAAAAATGGTTATTTTCTTTTTCCATCATTGACCKTAAAGTTTCTGAWCCCAAATGCTCCGCTCTAGAAATATTTGAGAAATTCTACATTTTAAAAATGAGTGGCCGTGRTGTTAACWTGYRAATTGCSACTTTTTATTWAAKAAAGTTCAATATTTTACAAACTSTCCGAAAATCAAKTTTTTGCAATTTTTKYACTTTGAGGGCCTCTATGGCCTATTTTCGAGTTCTGAATTAGAAAATGTTTGCTCTAAAGTTGCGCAACGACCCATATAATGTTTCTAGACACGAAAAAATCCCAACTTTTTCTCCAACTTGCAGCTTGCTCCAAGTCCAGTACTTGCTGCCATGCACAAACTAAACCAAACTAACCCAAATTAACCCAAAATATCTAAGAACTGTATTTGCTTATCAAAAATTAAGATTTAAAAATTTATTTACTCAGTTCGCAACGCTCAAGTCTCAACTTTTTTCGAAATATTTTGACTTTTGCTGCCTTTACGGCTCTTATAATAGACTTTCGAATTTTGAAAAAAGCTAATTTTTGTTCAAAAGATGAGCCCTCCAAGAACAAGAAAATTGTCTTGGACAGTTGAAAAAAGCGCGACAAATTGACATTCTTAAAGCTACACCTTTCATGCGGTCGTTAATCCAAGCTAAAAATAACTCAGGCTCTAAAACTATTGAAAGTTTGATTAATTATGCCGATACTCGAAAAACATTTACCTGCACAACTCAATAATTATTAATAAACTATTCCTGCTTCTTGCAAATAATGAAAGCACTTTCTTCCTTTTACAAATTCGATTTTTCTGTTTAAACCGAACCGAAGTACAAGTACTTTCTCCATATATTTACTTCCGATCGAAAAACACCTAAAACGTTGCTTTTCAATGGCCGTTTAAATAGCGATTCGACAGTTTGCTGAATATTGCAACAACCGGTTGAAACTTGATTATCATTCTGTAGGGTACTTTTAGTACCCAAGTTAAGTAACCTGCGGATTAATCAATCGTTCAGCCTCGTGACAGTCAACGTGAATTAGCTCAAAACAAAGAATTACAAACCGTGGAATCTGTACTAGATTTTACATTTGCAAGAAATTTTGTGTTTCCAACAATGCATGCATTACGTGCGTTGCATTTTGCTTGATTAAAGCCGTATTTTGCGTTTGAGTTTTATGCATGCCTGAAACTTGACTGATTTTAATTAATAATTGATCAACTCGATCATGGGATAAGTTTCCAGTCACTCCTAGCCAATTATCCTTTGGATTTTTTAAGTTTAGGTTTGGTTACTTGGAGGGACTGTCGCTGTTGTGCAACACTCAAAATATTTAATTAGGAAATAAGCTGAGGAAAAGAATAAAGTGAAGAAATTGAAGTAGAGTGCAACCCATTTAACCGAAGTATTTACACACTATTTCCTCGATGCATTATCTGATATGCTGGTAATTTTAATAAGTTGTTAAATTCTGCAATCAGTTCGTGTGAAACAATGCCAACATTTCGACACAATGGATGCTTAAAATTCGAGTTTAGGCTGCGCCATCGAACAGCGTCTATGATAATAACCCTCATTTAGATGTAGGAATTTAGGCCTTTACCAATGCGTAGGCGAGATTTTTTGACGGCTAAATTGGTCTTTCCATCACTTATTTTCACTTGTTGCTAAATGGCCAGCTGCTAAGAAGGAAATGATGTAAATTTTTAATTATCTAAGACATTGATTTTGAAAACAGCCACTCGTTATATCATCGCCCAATTTAACGAAGACTAATTTAGAGAAATTGTTGCAGCATCCAACCCACAAGCCGAAGATGATTCCGACATGTACATGGAATCAGTTGAACCTGATCACAAAGTGGCTGCCAGCAGCTTTGAAACTGGAGAGTGGTAAAATATGACTAGCAAACACGCAAAAAGCAAAGTGTCTTAATTGATACCCTTGCCAGGTTTCCCTCATTTTCAAGTTCCTATGATCCATACGGTCATCCCACTTCAGGACATTCCAGACCAGTATTTCACGATATTTACCATCAACAAGAAGGTATCAATCAACGAACCACAAACAGGAAAATTAATAGTAGAATTGTGCATAAATATATCATGATCTCCCAGGTGCCTACAGTCAACGAAACGACCCACCAGCTCAACAGGATTTAGCTTACAATCATCCGAAGGCTAATGGATACAAACCCTATGTGAGGCAGCAGCAACAAGAGGTTAAGGCTGAAGCTCAACCTCAACAGCAAGTCAAAGAAAATGCAGCTTCGATTTTAGGTGAAACTCAATAAAAAACAGATGTAGATTTAAAACTCTCTCAAGTTGATCTCAGAAAGATCCTTATGAGGACCAGGATGGTTTCTCTATTTTAAATCGTCGGAAAATATAAACACTTTTTACGAAGAACACAGCGGGTTTTGCCAAAAATTTTAGTTTCAGTGTATTAATCATAAGTAACATATGAATATTTAATCGCGTATTTCCATACACATTCTTTCCGAGTGAGGAAGATTATTTAGGGATACCTTATTCGTCCCTTCAGGAACATGCAATCGATATTTATCAATTTATTGTACTGCAAATTCGTTTTCTGGACACTGAGGAAGCGGTTTGCAATATATTGTTGCTTCAAACCAAAGAACAGTAAACTTCTAGTTCCAGATGAAGTTGAGAACAGCACAATTATACAGTGAGTCCCAGTAGTAAATTCCAAATTCATTTAAAATTCAGGAGTGCGTTATTTTCCAAAAATATGTCCACTGTACCAGACTTCCATATTAAATAATTTTCAGACTTCCATATTAGAAACCTTACCAAGTCACCTGTTATAGGAGATGGAAACTTTGGAGTAATCCAAGGAGGAACCTTTTACCCCGAGAAGGATGGATACGACAGTGAATTGGGAGGTGCCGGTTTTGATGACTTTTCCTCCTATTTCCACAACGGCCATGGACGACCATCGTACTACTACCCTTCGAATTCTAAGACGAAAGGTACGTGAAATCCATCGTAGAAATTTGCGAATTTTCGCAAGCGGTTCCGTATTTTTCAGCCAAAAAACAGCAACAATTTGAAAACTTCCGCGACTTTGCCGATATCAACAACCCACCTCAGCGCCAGTATTCTCAATACGTTGTGGTCTACACGAATAAAAATGGAACAAGAACTACGGTTCCTTCCGTGGAAGAACAGGGCGATTATGAAGATGCTCAACTAGAAGCGCAAGGCGCCGATAAAAATCTTCCTATCGAAATCGACGCCAAACGGCCAAAGAACATACTGGAAAGCCTGGCTTTGCTGGACCAAACCGAACCATCCGAAGATGATCCGGACACGGATGATGAAAATGGAATGATATTAACTCTTTTACCAGCCTTCGATCAGGGCGATATCATCGAAATACCACCCGAGAAGAAACAGTCGAAATCGAAGAGCAAGTTGGCTAAACTGCTACCGGAGAAAAAGCACGAATCGCGACAGGTGCAGAAAGCGAAAGACATGAAAGAACCGCTGCTGGCTCTGAGTTGATTAGTAGTTTTAGTTTATGGCCAAATTGTTACTGAAATTTACAACAATAAGTCTAGCATGCTTAGCCAGGTAAAGTTATAGGCATTTCTTTAGCCACCTCATCACTTCGATCTGATTTTGTGCTTCATATGTATTATGGAAGGCAAGAGAATCCTTCGCAATCTTCAGCTCTCAAACGATTAAAAGTGAAATACATATGTAGGATTTTTCGACTTTGGTTTCCAACAAACTCATGAGTATTCATATTCTTCCTCTCACCAGCCTACTAGCATGTATTAAACGGAAAAATTTTGGAAACAGATAAACTGCTGTATATCTCTTTTGCATATATCGTCAGACGTTTATCCCAGCCAGCAATAGATCATTTATTTTCCGTTTTCCCTCATCCCAAATCACACTCAATAACTGCTGCTTTGGATGAGCCATGGTATTTTTAAGAAGCGTTGTTAATAATTGTTACACAGCTATTTTGACTGATAATTTAGTAACTAAGATAAATTTAATAAGAATAAGATATACGCTCTAGCCTAGTATTTAATTAGTTTCGCTAATGTTTAAGGGCTGAGACAAATGACTTGTTTTCCACCATCAGTCCAATTAGTACAGTTAAAGTTACAGAATCCACTAGTGGCACGAAAAATATATAAAACCGGCAAAAACATTGACAATGAAACGACTAGCAAAAGTAGGATTTGTGTCAAAGGCAGCACCTAAATGCACCAACGCAAGTCGAAACATGTGTGAAGCTGGCAAAGACCTTACCTCAACCGACCATGATCTAGTTTTGGCTATTTTTGCATACATATTTACCTTTCAACCAGCCTGCATGAACAATTAATCTTTATTTAAATCGCCTTAGGTATAAGGAAACTGTTGTTGAATCCATGACAAGTCAAGTGTATTGTAGCTAAATAAATTTTATTTTTTATAATTATATAAGTATATTATTTATTTCGGCAAATACTTTACTGGTATTTTACATACCTTCTGATATTTATTTCGATCCGGTTTTAAATGAAAAATTATTTTTGTTTAACTGAGACACCGTGTAAAACTTATCGCTGATAGAATTCTGCAAAATGGTTTGTGCGAATTTGTGGCATATTTCATCAATAACGACTTCCTACACAAAACTGCGAGCAGAAACAGAACAATATCGACCTGTTGCCAGTCAGATAACTTGGAGCTTTGTTTCACAGAGGGCATTAAATCGCTTTAAATAAGTCAAAAAACAAAAAATTCTACAAAAACTCCTTTAACAAATCAATTGGTTAAATGAATAAAATACTGAAACATTTCCAGATTTGCAGCCGCTTTCTGGTGGTTAACATTTGTGGGCAAACCCAAATTTACCAGATTTTCCGGGATATTTATGTATTGAATTATTTGTTTCAAATCAAGGTTTGTGCATCAACACATTTATTGTGTTGTTTTGATACCATTATTTATAAACTGTTATATATTGCTAATTGCAGTTTAAATTCGTTTCCACTCCTATTTAAATTCTTACGAACAAAACTTTCCCAAATCTATTGAATTTTGCCAAATAAATTGGGGATTAATGCGACTATAAATGATCATCTCAGAATTTACACTTTTTTACTGTATTTGATTAAAAGTGTACACTAAGATTAAAATCCAGTTTAAGTAAATTACTTCGACTGCGACCTGTTAATCAAACCAGTTGAAGAAATTTCAAATCAAAAGTATAAAGTTCTCACCTAGATAAATGAGAAATTTTTACAAAAATCCGACAAACATATTTTCGAAAAGTTTCAAAATTTTTGCGTCCAATTTTAAACAGCTATCTGAAAAAACTGAGTCATTTTGTAGTCCAACTAATCATACAGAATTTTAAGATTTCAAATGCGGCGTGACATTGAATGCACCCCTAATACAGTAAAATCAGGAAAACACAAAATTTTGATAATGACTTAAAGTATTATAAATTTAAAGAAAATAGTTGTATCAACTAAACAAAATAATACATATAAACTTGCATTTGTATGTTAAATATATTTTTTAGTTAACTCATAGTATCATGACTCAAACATAAATTCTCCTTTTAAGCCCACTAAGTTTAATCATTATAGTAAGGTTCACATGGATAAAAGCACCATGAAAGTTTCTGACACATTTTACTTCTCTATGTTGAAAAAATGCGCACACCTTTCCTATCGAGCAAACAACATCGCATTTCAACCGAACATAAAAATTATGTACAAGTTATCAGCCCCTGTCTTTTATGGACGAAAAAGTGTGTAAAACAGAGTTTCATCAAGATTTCGAAGAGCAAGGAGGCAGGAACGTTCCCTTCCTCCTGCCATAAAGGAATAAATCGCGTTTTATGGTTTTATGGTCCTTCTGAGCCGGCCGAGTAAATTGGGTTGAATAAAGCGCTCGTCACTTAATCGGCAGCATTATTCATTCGGGGGAGTTTATTCCAGGGTTTTGTCAAATAAACTGGCATTATTATTTGTCTTGTTGCGCGACAATATTTACTCACATATTCCAGATGTTTCAAGCCAAGAGCTAGCAAGAATGTTTAAAAGAAGTGATTGGTTTTCATCCTAGTACGTCTCTTATTAAGTAGATTAGAACCGTTACGCTCCTGGAAGCTGCTAATTTGTATTTAACACTTTATGAAATGTTTTAAAACAGTGACTAATCCAGATTGTGTGCCAGCGTCATTTGTTCTGGCTGTGCGAATTAAATACAAATAGAATTCAGTTTCAATGGGTAAAAAGTGACTAAAGAATAGATCACTGTATAATCATTGAGCTCCTTTTAGTGATAGTCGCAAGCAGATAACAAAGTATTTTTAAATCATTACAAATTCTTTGTTTCATCAAGGCAATGAAATGGCTACTTAATTGACGTGTTTGTGCAGTTTGCTTCCGACATCAACAGAATGTCGTATGAAAGCCATGCCGTTCTTGTTGCATTAGTGGGTGTGATTTTAGGATTCGGATCTGCAGATTCTGCACACGAAGGTACACTGTTTGCAATAAAAATTATTAACGAAAGTTTGCTACATTGAAACAGCCAGTTAAAAAGCATCAATTGTCGTCTAGGTTGTGTTTTTAAAGTAACCAACCATACAACAGAAAACAATCAACCAGTCCCTTTATTCAACCAATCATCAGACTACGAACTTGCTATTCCCCATCATGGATTGATTCACTTGCGACCCGGACAAAATATCAGCTTGTTGTGTTTTGGGAATAGAAACTACGTCAGGCAAAGTTGAGAGTAGAACTTTCGAGTAAGAGCTCTTTTAAATTTTCGAAATTTTTAAGCCAACTCCAACATAACCACAGTCACATGCCTGAGAGGTGACAAAGTGCAACTCTACAAGCACTCCCATAAGTTTGAGGAAGTTCAGTGCAGACACTCGGTTAGAGGGAACGTGAGGGCAACCGATAAAGAGTGTGGAAGAGATGGCGGCAGAATTTACCAGATTGGATATCCAGTTTCGAGAACGGAATGGATTACTTTGATTTCCACCTGCTATGTACCTGCAGAGGGGAGAACTCTATATACCAGACACACTTTATATGGAGAGGAAATCAAATGTATTTGAGCAAAACAATATTTGGGGGACACATTTGACTTTTTCTTATATTTTAGACGCTTCAAAGGCCAAGTACCGGCCTGCTTGGAGTCCATCAGGACAATATGAAAATATTACTGCCTCTATAGCGTACCAGCAGGTCTATCAGAAAGGGACTTTGAGCAGAATATTGGGGTCTTCAATTTTAGCCAACAATTTCATCAATAACAACTCTTTCTTCGCCAAGGGGCACTTGTCTCCACATGCCGATTTTATTTTAGCATCAGCCCAATTTTCCACGTATTTTTACATTAACGCCGCTCCGCAATGGTAAGAGCAAAGACATTTAAGGATTAACAAAAAATACTTAACTGTCGGTTTAGTTCCATTTTTCTAGCTTTGGCCGAAGGAACATTGTCTTAATTTGCCTAAAGTTTAATTTACTGATTAACAATGCTCAATTGGATTATTAATGTATTTTATTAGGCAAAAAATAAATGGAGCCAACTGGAAAAGCATCGAATCGACCGTAAGAAACCTGGGAAAGTTCTATGGCACTTTGGAAATTATTACTGGAACTCATGGAATTTTAGCCCTGTTTGATAAGCAGAACAATCCTCATGATATATATTTAGGTAACCAAATAGTTGCCAATAATAACCTAACTAATGACAGGCTTTGCACGTTCTTCAGGTCAAAGGAATACCTTACCAGTACCCAAATACTTATGGAAAATCGTGCTAAATAAAGCGACTCAAGAAGCCATTGTCTTCATAATCCTCAACAACCCATTCATAGAGGCAGTGAACGACGAAGTATTTTGCGAAAACATTTGCGAACAGGTCGGTTTCGATAAAACGTCTTGGAAAGATCCATCATCAGGACTTGTATTTTGCTGCACCATCGCTGAGTTTCAGAAGGTGGTAAAAACTGCACCAAAGTTGGACGTTTCCGGAGTTTTAGTCCAACAATCTTTGCTTTGGGAACCATCATTGCTCAATGTCGTATAACATTTAAAGCCATATTTTTATATTTTTAAAGCAATCCGGGCAATGACAGCATAACAAAAAGTTACCAAGAGCTAACTGTAAAGGATCATTTTATATTTCATTTCTGCGGGTCTTTCTTTAACGCGATCTCCCCAGGGAAAAACTGTTAAAAACTTTTTTCTGGCTTTTTCTGCTCGGGAAACATGGAGATGTCTTTTGGCAACGAATTATAATTTTTTCGAATTTGAACGACAAAAGTAATGAAATATTTAGATCACACAGAACAGAACAGGAGCAAGCCGCTTGCTATAGACTTGCTTAAAGCGAAGAATTATGAATGAACCAAAAAAATTGCTCAATTACTTGCTTGGAAATACTAAATGCATAAGAAAGACGAAATTGAATTAAATTCGAAATAAGGGAAATGTCGGGAAAAAATGTGTAGAAATAATGATTTAGATGGTACTTCTTTTAAATGATGTTCAGTTGTGCTACTAATATTTTAATCATATTCAAATCATTACTTTGTAAAGTATTTTAATAGTCAATTTAGGTATATTAAATCTACTTAAGTCTTTAAGAAGGGTATTTTATTTACTATGGTGATCTAAGTGAGTAATAACTTAAATAGTTTATTATTGCTTGACTGAAAAAAACTCAATTTTCATTTCCATTTTTTTTTCTGCTAATATCCTCCTAAAGCCTTTTCCGTTTCTGAGTTTATAACATCCAAAATAAATGGATTCAAATGTTGCTGGTATATACAGGGCGTCCCAAATTCCATGCCTACTCCCAATTGTTCGAACTAAACCGCTGAATAGTTTTTTTGTTAAAATCTTGGCAATTTTCAGAATGAGACTGAAATAAACAGCTGGCAATTGACAACTCTGATTTGCGAATCAGAATTGCTGCAGAGCCCATCCGCCGTTTGCAGTAAAACATAATATGAATAACTCGAAATAAGCGATTTTCGAGTAGTAAAATCCATTTGGTGTCAATTTAAAACTAAAACCCCCATCGAGGGTGTCGTTAATATCGAGAGCATGCAGGGGATGCACCGCAGGTCGACGTGGTTTATGTCTTTCGCCCCTGAGGGCGCACACATCACGTTCAATTAATACCTGAACGATAATCTTATTTAACGAGACCCAATTGCCAATTGCAGAATTGTCATTCGAGAGATGGATGATGAACAGTGGCGTTCTGTCCGATCATTTTGAATCACTTGGTAGCATAAAAATAGTCAGTAAATTCAGTCTAGTGGCAGTTTTTTAAATTATTTAGAATAATTTATTCCTGGGTTTTGCAAACCATTTTGCAAAGCATTCAATCGATTAATTGTCGTGCGATTTAAACTGTCCTTAAACACCAAGATCTTATTGAGCTTCTTCTACTTTACTGTAAGTATTTCCAATAGTGCACCACTTTTTGGCATATTTTGACCATTTATTTTTCTAGTTCTCGTCTGATGGTTTTAGATGAAATGCATTTATGAACCGCCACTGAAAATGCACCAGTGACGGATTATGCATACACAATGTGGGGGCCCTTTGCGAATAATTAACCACAAATTGTCGGATTGAGCGGACGCACCATCGGCTCGGAGGTCCCTTAATATGATTTGTCGTCGGTGACCGTTATTGCATCGCGATTAATTTATTATTGTTCCTGCAAATTGCGATTATTGCTCAGCTTTTAAATAAACAAATTATGCGGTAAATAAATGGCGGCGGAAAACAGCTCACTTGTTCTGGAATGGATTACCACGTGTTGGGAAAGCGGTGGAAAATGTGCCATTTATTCATTAAAAGACAACGGAACAGTCGACTGCGCCATACTTACATACATTTCTTTATCTTCATTCACTTTGTGATTTATACACTATTTTGCATCGTACTTCTTGAATTATTTAAAGATGTTGCTTAAAATCGTCCAGTGACCGCGCTAATTAGATGTTCGAAAAAGAAACATTTTCAAAATTAAATTTTAGTATAATTTTTTTAAGTATATTCAAACGAAGCTGTAATAAAATGTCGTTTTTTAAAAGAATTCTCATCCTTAAGTCAGTCAACTGGCGCAGTTAGTAGGATGGCACGTTTGAGCAATTTTTTCTTTACATAATCCAACAAGTAAATCGAAAAATGACTCGTAAATCGCAAACTGAAATATTGATTTTATGCAGCAAATAAACAAGTTTTTGGTAACACCATGGTTCAGGCTCCAGGCAAATGCCCCAAAGTGCACAAATAACGAAATATTAGAATAGAAATGGTCGCTTTCTCGACTTGGCGAAGACAGTTTGCCCCTATTTAGGGCAAAGTTTTATGATCTCGGAGGCTCCCCAGAGCGAAATGGCGTAAGTTTTAAGATTATGGCTTTATGCACAGATAGTGGCAGAAACAGTCGTGAAAACAGATGTCTTGGTAGGGCGTATCAATAACATTAAAGATTACACGAGTGACAATTTGAAATCTAAAATATATTTTTTTGAATTAATGATGATAACTAAAGAAGGTAAGAAGCTAAAAAATGTCTATTTATTCACTTTTATTCTCACATTCATTTGTTGATTAACAAAATATGGATAAATCCAGAAAGGTTGCTTGAAAGACAAAAAAGCCGACGGTAAAATTTAGTTTTGAATCCAATTTTTCAGATTCAGCAAAGCTGGGAATCTACGTTCCATTTTCGTATTTGCCACTACTAATTCGATTTAACCGCGAATTCCAGCGGAAAATATTTTTCGCATCTTTGCAGTTGTTATTCATTGGATTCTCTCCTATCGAGCCCTTAAAAACGCGAATGTCATTCTTTCTCAAAGTTTTCCGTCAATTTGCTTAATGTGGTTTGTATGGATTTCCAGATGAATTTATGCCTCATGCGAAACCTTCAAATATTTGAGGGCACAGGGCGACAGAAACGACTACGTTACAGGTTTAGGGAGGGAAATGGGGAAGTCTTATTGAAATATTCCTCAACTTTACATTTGCCTGTTTTATTATCGGAGGGATAATGGACCAATGCAGTATTTTTATCTCAATTTGTGATGTTCTTCATTGATTTTTGATGATTTCTTGTGACTTTCTTTTTGCATTGCTTAGCCGACTTATATAGTTAAAAACAAAATTCAATCATGTGCGAACGTTCCATTAGAATCTTGATGGAATTTGGTTCAAGTGAATCGCTCTAATATGGACAAAAAAATTAATATTGTATACATTTTAGTGGTACCTAATTAACAACAAATCACACAGTACGACAAATCGTACAAATGTTCTCGGTTGAGCACTGACAAAACTTATTTATACACGTTTAAAATATTTTTAAATTGCGAAAAACGAAATATATATATTTAAATAACGAAAATATTGCTTAGAGCCTTACAATAAAGTGCAATTTATTTGGGCAATTCGTGAACATAGTGGCGTCTTTAAAAATGAATTTATATCCGAAAATTCTGCAAAGGTATAAAGGTTTATTTTAGGGCGTTTTATAATGCTGTTTATGAGCTTTTTCAATGTGTTTTATTTGCAACGTTCTTTGCTTTTTTACTTTTGCTCCAAGCATTTAAATAATTGAGGCACGACTCCCGAAGGTCCTTAAGTCAGCGTTGATTTAAATCTTTTATGGCTGGAAAATACTGGAGATAGAAATTATTTTACTTTCGCTAGGTAGGAGTTTCTGGTGGTAAGATGTCGAATGAACATCGTAATATGGGGGGTAATTAATACGAGGCGATGTTTCTTTAAGCGCCTAAATTAAAACAAAATTATGCAAATTTCTGGCGGGTAGCGACAGGAAAATGCGGATAACACCCTTAAACAATTTTACCAATTACAGCTTTAATTAACTTAGGGCTTTTAAGCAACCTGATCCTTTTCTTTCCAGTTCTGCAGTGTCTTGGAATTAGGCCGGGATAAGTTACAAAATTAAAAGGCGATTTGCAATTTAAATTGACGCTGTTGCAGGGGCAAATTTCATTAACAAAAATGCGGTTAATATTTGTGTTCCAGCTTTACTCAGCGATATCCTCAAACATCGTAATTCAATCAGACCGTCCCGGATTATTCTCATTTCGGTTAATTTTTCACGCCAGTTGGCCTCTACCAAGGCGTGCACTGTAATTGGTCCCCACCGAAATCCAATTGTGGATTTTTTCATTGAGTTATTTCTTATTTTCGTCTTTTCTCGTCGTGATAGAAGCATAAACTTTGTCGGGCTTTTATACGGTTGAAATAAAACCAATTACGTTACCGTAATCTATAGACAAGATGAGAAGAGATATTTTTCGATGCTTTATTAATTTTTTTCTAACCAACTAGAAATATTTTCACTAAATTTAGGAACAAAAATATGGCAATTTTCAGCTAGTTAGTTGGCTCTGATTTGGAAGTATAAAATGTGTTTATTGGTTTGAATGTAAAGAATCAACATTGCAAAAATCACCGTTTGTTAACCAAATTGATTTATCAACCAACTAGAGGGGATGCTGCTGCTCTATCACAGAACAATTGAGTTTTGGACAACCAAACGAGGCGGATTCAAAGCGGCCAAATCGAGTTGTTCAAACTTGACTGACCGCGAGTTTGCAATTAGTCCCATTTTTGAACATGGAAATTGTGACGCAATTGACGGCCCAACTGGAAAATAGGAAATGCGGTAAACAGAAAGAAATCAGCCGTAATTTCATTTCGTTACCTCATAGTAACAGAGCCAGAAATACAGTACTAAATGCCGTGTAATTACTAACATTAAAATTACATTATGTGGATTGTTTATTTTTTTGATCATTCGCTTTTCCGATATTTACCGTGTCAGTAAAACATTTTTAAGGATTAAACTGAATTGTGACTAAAGATAAGTAACAATTTTCAGCGTTTGCTTTACACTAAGTTCTACATGAATATTGTTTATCATGCTCTTTTTAGCAAAGTTTAATATCAATCCAAGTTAGTTCCGACTGTGTTTAGTTTCATTGTTTCAGTTTATCATTGTACTATTTGTTGTTATATTGTAAATTTGCTATAGCAGATTCCTTTCCTGATACGGTTGTTTGTGCTATTATTAAATCATAGTTCACATCATCATCACGTGGTTCAGTCATTTATTGTCTCTATTTATCAATTAAAATACGTTTTGGTGTATTTTTCCACCATCATCAGTTTTTCTAAAATAACAGATAGTTAAACAATCACAGCTCGTCAACAGCCTCATCATATCACACATTAAAATACATTACAATTGCAATACTTTAAAACATTCTAAAATTAATTAGGCCTAACAGGTGATTAGTCAGGACAATCAAATTTGGGAAGAGACTAGAATTCTTTGT